AAGTGAATATCCTTTTTTTTCCGAATAGATCATTTTTTCTCTACATATCTATCAATAATTAATGGTTTTCAGCTTGCTAACCATTCTGTATCAATCCTGTAAATTTGTCTCTGATGTGAATTATGATAGCAAATATTAGGCTTATTGAACAATTGCTTAAAATCCTAAAATACCTTTTATAAACTTTTTAACCCAATACTGACAGGCATGACGTGTACATACTTGCTATGCCCACTGTGAGTACTTGTTTGATTGTTTTTACACATAGATGGCTACACTTGTACTAAGTCACCAATGAGCCAGTTACGAGGACTGCCTGTATTGCCCGTTTACCCTTTTCTTTACAAAAATATTTTAATTTATCTTATTTTGCTGTTACTAATGTTTATAACATTATAGTAATTATAATGTTTATAATAAAAATAACACCATCGATATTAATAGCACTAGTAAAAATTACATTTTTCCCGCCAATCAGGTAAGGGCACAAGGTCCACTAATTGACTCCTTTGTGGCTAGGCACTAGCAGAGCCATCTATGTGCAGAGACATTTCAGAGAAATAGATAAAATGAGCACAACATTTTCCCCATTTTTTATTCATCTTCCCCAGCAGCATTGGGTTAACTAATAACAGTTTATCTGAAAGAACATCTTTTCAATGTAGGCTCGTTTTTTCAGGCCTGAAGTCTTAGTTCTTGCTTACAAAGAACATGACGTAGCAGACTTCAATGGGATGAAGCTTTTGTGTCGTTGTTTTGGCCTCTTCTTTGAGGACCATTCGCCACCTCGGGGACTTCACAGAGGATTGCTAAGGTATTTGTTTTTTCTTTGGATTAAGAGAAGTAAATAATCAGATGAAAATAAAAGAAATAAAGTAACAAATAATAAAAATCTTACTTTAGATTATATATATATATATATATATATATATATATTTATATATATATACATTTATATATATCTATATATTTATACATTTATATATATTTATATATATACATTTATATATATTTATATACATTTATATATATTTTATATATTTATATATATATATCTATATTATATATATATATATATATATATATATATATATATATATATATATATATATATATATATATTTTTTTTTTTTTTTTTTTTTTTTTTTTTTTTTTTTTTAATAATAATAATAATAATAATAATAATAATAATAATAATAATATTGTTGAAGAAAAAAATGTTTTGTATTAGACCATTTGAAATCAGCTGTTTTTATTGCCTCAATTTTTGTATTGAATGAAATGTTTAGATGCGTTTATTATTCAGTTGTATAGTATAATTTGTATCCTAACTGTCGTTCTCCCTTGTTCCAGGTTTACCATGAAGGGAAATGAATTGATTTTGCTTAGTAACAGAAGTCCTCTTTTTGTTATACCACCATTTAATGGAACAAAACTCATCCTGCCTTGAAACAGGCTTTCTGTCTTAGAATAGTGCTTATATGAAAGACATTTTCTCCATGAAAAAACAATTTTCATTTTAGAAAATAGGGTTTTACGTGAGTGTCATGGTTGTAGTGTTTTCCTTTAGAAGTGGGTTTGTAGAAGTTGCTAGGTGTTAAAGTACATTTTTTTCAGCATGAGAAATATGCATATAGATGAATTATGTTACTTTGCTCTACAACTTGAATATATTTCTCTCTGCCTCTGAGCGGGCATTCATCTTATTACTGGTACGAAAATAGTTTCTTGCTAGTTTCTCCCTTCCCCAGTATTACTAGTTTTGTGAAAGAATGTTTGTAGCTTTGGTTTGTAGGAGGACAAGTAATGTATATATATAAAGAGAGAGAAATACTTGTAATGAAGGTTCAGTTTGTTGTTTTTAGTATAGACCATAAATCAGATGTGAATGTTGACTGTTATATAGGGAGTTGCACAAGTTAATCCATATATTTGTAAAGGTGATAGAACATACAATTTTTAGGAATAATTCTTCCATACACAACAGTACTTTTCAGATTATTTGAGGCATGAGGCAGTTACAACTCTGTGAAATTATGATTTTTAAAACTGGGGACTTTTTATGCAAACTACAGAACGTTACAGTCTCTTCAGACAAGAAATCACATTAATAACAAACATTGATCCACCACAAAGAATAACAAAAAGACTGTGTGGCTGTAAGTGGCAAGAAAAATAAAATGTAACTGCAACATTTGTTTGCAATCAATGGTTTGTCAGTATACTCCAAGATTAGATATATTTAATGTTTGATATCATACCAAACTAAAATGAGAAATGTAAAGGGAATCACATTCTTTCACCTCTGCCATGTTTGTTGATATTGTCATTGACAGTTGTACAGTATATGTTTGCAAGGCAATAACTGATAAAAATAAATTGTTGAAATTGTTTAACTACTTTATTGTTCAAATGAAAATAGATGTTTTTTTTTTTTAAGTAGAATCACATGGAATGCACAAAACTTTTGTTAACTCCCTAAATTTGTTAATTACTTTTC